AAACTATTAGTATACGGCCGTTTACGGCCGTGCGTCATTGACCTGGGTATTTTCACTATATAAATCATGAAAATTTATACGCTGACCAATTTGATAGTTGAACCGAATTGATTCCAACGATTAATTTGTTTTAATAGATGTTGTTTAGGCTAGCTAATAATTATAAATATATCATTAAAATATCTTAGATGAAGACCATTACTATTTTTGATTTGTTTGATAGGAAAACATATAACAATTTGCAATTGTACGAGTTAATGGAGAACCCATGGCTTCACATCGTATTTGATGATAGTATTCCTTCTATTTACAATACCATGGTATATAAATCGAATACATCTAATATTAATATGAGATATTCCTTTTTTTATTCGAATGTTGTGTGTGTTATTCGGCCCGAAAAATAATGAATATGTAAAAAAAAAATCCGTATCTCGATAAGAAGAATCGATAGAGACTAGACAGATATGCATAGCTGAAATGATGTGAAAGCATGTGAACAACATAAATGAGAAGCATCTCAACACTCACACTCGTTAAACTTATGCTCACTATTCAAGCATCATTTTCTTCCTAGAATTTGTTTAATAAAAACAAGAGAAATATTAGATTAATATAGGATAGACATGTATGTATTTAAGCAATGAAAAAAAAAATAGTTTAGTAAATCTTTCAATGTCATTCAGGTTGATCGGCCAGTTCGATTGTTATTTGAATATCATCACACCAATTCGACGTCAGATCACCTTTCGAAGGATTGAAGGTAACCACAACAGTAATGGTTTCCTTTATCATTGACTTATTTAGTGGAAAACGAATCGGTTCTATATGATTCGAATCTGAAATGTAAGAATGTGATTAAAAAAATCATTCTAATATAAAGAATACAAACTCATAGTATATGTATGTCCTGGATATCCAAGAGTGATAGTTGTCATTTGTCCACCTAATCGAGCATTTAACACCAATACAGGATTGAGTTCCCATCTTACTTGTTTATACTTGTCAGAAATCTTTTGATAGAAGCGAACAGGTCCAATTGCTTTGTTAGGTGCAAATACACAGTTATTCTCATCTTGTTTTGAACGAATGATAGCAACACTATTATTCTCATCGACATTCCATGAAGATTCAAAAGGAATATTACAATCGGCATAACCATTTGTTATAAGATTATAATCTTGATCAATATAAGTTCCGTTCGGAAGTCGAGATCCACGTATTGATATAGCATTCAATAATTGTATATCATTGATTTTGGCATTGAAAAGATCAGTGTGAGAGAAATTAATTCCATTAACATTGACATCAATAAAATTAGCATTTTGTAAATTAGTATATGAAAACCATGTATTTTGCAACCGAGCTCCTGTTAAATCAACAGAAGACATTTTGCATCGAGTAAAAGTCGCATAATCAGCAGTAGCATTTGTAAAAATAGTATTATCAAAAGATGAATCAATGAATTGACCAGAAGTTAAATCAATATCGGTACAATTTGAATTGCGCATTGTTGTATTTAAAAAACGAGTACCATTAAAAGAAGTACCAGTAAAAACTCCTAAAGATAAATCACTGTTAATGATCGTACTGCTGCCCATTTGTACATGGAAAAAATTGGCTCGTCTGATGATAGAATTATTAAAAATAATGCTGTGATAATAGCAGAGACGATAACAATGGAAGAAACAATGACTAAAACTAACACTTTCAAAGTGATTGTTAAACATGAAAGTATCCGTAAAAAATGTTTCTGATGCATGTGTATAGATAAAAGTGCTGTTGCTAATTAATGTTTCCCTAAACATAGCAGATATTAAAGTAGCATTTGTAAAATCAGTATTAGTTAGTCTTGCGCCAGTAAAGTTGGCACTCATAAGATAAGCATTTGAAAAATTGGTATTAGGTAATTCTGCTCCGGAAAAATCAGCTTTTGTAACTGTGGCATTTGCAAAATTAGTATCAATGAGTTTTACATACTTAAAACTGACCTTACACATGGTACTGTGTGTGAAGATCGTTTTTTCGAGAAGTGCTTTATCAAAAGTGCACGAACGGAGTGAAGTCATAGTAAAATTAACTCCTGTTAAGTTACTACGGCGAAAATCAACATCGACTAAAGTATTATAGGCAAATGATGCATTGAATAAATGCGTTCCAACTAACGAAAGACCAGGCATATTCCAATATAAGGCATTACGAAAATCGATATTTTGTAATTGAGCCGTTGATAAGTCTAAAGGATTACGATTTCTTGTTAATTGTCCAGCTTCGTATAAAAATCGAATTAATTCAACATTTCGAATAGGATCCAATTGTCGAATAATAGCCAAAGTCTTTGCACGAACAATAGTTTTTGTAACATAATCATTTGTTAAACTTCCATTATTTTCTTTGAGTAAAACACCAATATCTTTAATATAATCTATTAATAAATTATCTCGATATTGCATGTATGCAATATTCACTTCATGTTGACGTTGTTCTTCATTTAATTTGAATTGATCTTGAGAAATTTTTTTATCAAGTTGTCGTTGTTCTTCAGCTTGTTTTCGATCGTCAAGTCTTTGTTGGGCTGAAATATTTAAATCTTGTTGTCGTTCTTCTTTTGCTATGTGTCGATCTTCAAGTCGTTGTTGTCCTGCTACATTGGTTTGATGTAAAGTAATAACAATCGTAAAAACTCCCAACATGAGAGGAAGAAGAAGACTAGAACCACATTCAATACATTCTTTTAATGTTAAATCACAACAAAATTTGCGGCGACGCCGTTTTGATATCTCTATCATTGTATCTTGGTCTTTATCTATCGACATTTCGAAATAAAGTTGTTTCGCCTATTTTACAAAACCTATATATTCTTACAAAGCTCACTGTATTTTAAATATTTATTGAATGAGTTGTTTTCTTCTATATGTATAATATTTATATATGCAATTAAAAAAACAAAAAAGAATCAAATTTCGTATGATCATATATCGAGTACTGTATTTGTTTGACGTTCGATCGAAAAATATTTTTCTATTAATTTGAATATTGTTTCACTAATCAATTATTTGATAATATCAAATTTTTCTAAAGATCATACTTCGAATAATAAGTACATCGTATGTATTTGTCATGTTAATTTTGTTTCTAATATGTAATATCGTCATTACTTACGAAACAATTCGATCAACAACAATATTTGAAACTAACATTCAAGATCAATATTATAATATACAAAGTTTCAGTCCCGTAACAAAGAACAGAAAGAAAAATATATACATATATGACTAGCCCACGATGACCATCTGTATACATTGTCCTATCATTCTATATTATTATTATTTTATTATCTGCCCATTCATTAAAATAAAAAAATCTATATTAAAATTTACAAGTTTTCTTCTGAGACTTTTTTCTTATCCAAACTTTTTATATGTATGCCACACCTCACACTTGAACTTGAGTATTCAATTATTCATCTGCAAGAAGATAACAGTGGAGGGGAGGGGGAGAGTTAACCGAGAGCATAGGTGAGTGTAGAGCACAGGGAGAATATGATTAAGGGGAACAGGAGTAACTGAGAACATCAGTGACGATGAAGGAAAGAGAGATACAAAAAGAGAATAGTTTAATACTCGAAGCGAACAACTGAATTCAACTTTCAACTTTGACACCACTCACTTTTTATTGAATCAGTTTTTCCTATAATATGAGATCTTATCTCTTCACAAGGGCCTCTAGTATAGAGTTTAATATAGAAATTAATTATGAGATATTGAAATTTATGATGTAGGTATTCATATTCACACACTGGATGGAAACAGCGAAATAGTTTTCTGTTGCAAGTAGATATATTGAATGAAAAAATAATCGATGTTTATTAATTGCATTCATCATCGATTAATATAGTTACTCAATGTCATGTACTCCTATATGGAAAGTTTTAAATTTTGTAGAAAAAACTCGTTTTTCACTCTTTATAGAATTGTAAAACGTGTTACATTACTTTCAATTGTCAATAACCGTATATTTTTTATCTGCTGCTATATTATTTATAACAACTAATCAAGTTTCTAATGATTTTTGACTGATTTTTACAGTTAGAAACAGTATCTAAATATTATTACAAGCAAAAGATATCGATAATAAACATTCTCAAGATGGTTAAATCAAATATTTTAGAATGAGAAATAAATACGATTTTTCTTTTAAAAAAAACTAATATTAAAAATAAGTGCATATACACTTATTCATCTTTTTTTTCGCATTATTAATGATTATGTAAAGTAAAGAACGAATAAAGGCCATATCGATAGAACACATACTCTGTATTTTTTTCGCTTTCGTGTCTTTAATGTACTTTTATATCGTTTTTTCTTTACATATGACTCAAGTCTATCGTATCAATATATTCACGCGGCGTGATTATGGGATCAATATATAACTGCATTATCATTTAATAAATTAATCGTGCGAAAAAAAACAATATTATTACATTGAATAAAGGTGAGTTAATATTTAATATTCTATTACATAAAATAAATTTCTAAATAGAGAAAAAAGATAATATTTACATTATAAGAATTATTATATCATTATTTTTTTTTAGTTTTAAATCTGAAATAATGAATCGTACTATTATTGATCAATTATTTAATCAACAAGTTAATTGTAATCATTTTCAAAAAGTAGCTATCGAACTAGACGAACAATTTCTCACTTACAGCGAATTTATTTTCTATGCACAACGAATTGCTACGTATTTATTAGAAAATTTTAATCTTACACCAGGAGATATTATTTGTCAATGTATAGAAAACAATCTATCAATGGTAAGTGAATATAAAAATAAAAAAATATCTTAATTTTCCAATTATTCATTAGATGATTGGAGTTATGTCGATTGAAATGATTGGCGGTGTTTGTTGTTCTCTTTCGTCTCAAGATTCTAATCAACAATTATATAAATTGATCAAACAAACTCAAAGTCATCTAGTACTTGTTCATTGGCTAACGCAAAACAAGATTAAAGATGATATTACTACATTAAATATCGATTCAATGATCAACACTGAACTTTATCGATCGTTTGATATTCATATGTCATCAAACGAAAAAATACATGAATGTCTATTACAAAAGAACAACAATTTATATCAAAATATGATCACCAAACTTTACATACCAAATATTCCGGATGATTCCATTATTCTTTTCGATGAACATGATAATATTATTTTTACTAGTCAATATACATGTCGTGAAATAATACATCGAATCAAAAATTGGGATAAATTAAAAGAACTTTTTGTTGATGATATACATACTGATACTATTCGTAATGATATTTCTCGATATATAATAGATACTGTAAAACAATTAAAACCAAATTATATAACTAAATTTATTCTAAAACTTTGTATGTATCGTAAATCGTATATTGATGATTTATTACAACAATTAATGAATTTATTTCCTGATCAATTAATTATTCAAAATGACTCGGGTAGTAAAGATCCAGAATCGGATTATGATATTCGTATAGGTTCAACAGATGGTAGCGATGCTGATATAGATGCATGTGTTATATTTAATGAATTTTTTTCTATACATTGGTGTTTACCATCTGGTATTGTATTTGATACAAATTTATATCCTAGACATTTAAATACAATTGAACCTATATTTAATGTACAAGGAACTGGTTTGGGTATATATTTACATATACGTTGTGATTATCCATATTATTTCTTTACGGAAATTAATGATTATAAACAGAATAAAATGTCAGTAATTAAATTACGAAAATGTATGACTGGAAAAGAATGGCAACATTATATTACTACAATAACAAAAAATGATTCTGATCCATCGTTAAAAAAGTTTTTTTATAAAGCTGAATTAACCTATTGGAAATATACGAAACAATTACTTACACATATATCAAAACCAAATGAATTAATTAGTTGTGCATTAAATGAAATTACAAATATTATATCTACAATAAAAACATCTCACTATGATACAACTAAATTTGAAAATATATGGAATAAAATTGATTATGAAATGAAACATATTTTAATGGAACATAGTAATATGTTATTTATTTCATATCTTCGTCAAGCTCGTAATCTTGAAAGAGAAATTCGAAAAAGAAAAGATAGATATGAAGATTCGTTTTTACATCCTATACTTCGAATACCTCCAAGTGAAATGTTATATATTGATACACTTATTATCTCTATGCGACATAAATTTTCCAAAGCTGTTTATTTTGCTAATGATGCATGTGTTGCAGAAGGTTCATTGTATTATGTAAGTATAGAACAATATAGTAATCATGCTGATGTATCATATGTTCGAAATAAAATCTTACGAACAAATCGTCTAACAAACAATCATTTATATCAATCAATTAATGAACAATATAGTAATTTTTTAAAAGAAATAAAAAATTATTCAAAAAAACAAGTTCATCATGGTCGAACTATTTATCGAAGTAGTAAATATTTATATCGTTTATTAAATACGATTACAGATTTAGGAACAAATAAATGGAATAGAATGGGATTTGATGGTAATCATCATATAAGTAAATTGGGATTAATTGTAGAAGAATTATTATTATCTATTCGAAAATATAAATATCCATTTGATGAATTCAATTCAAATTATCGTTCTCAAATAAGTGAATATTTTGCATTAGGTATATTTCCAACAGAGTCACAATTGAAAACTTTTTGGAAATATCGTAGATTAACATTAGATGAATCATCGGAATTATTTAAATATAAAAATTATCCATGGCAAATTATGCAAGTATTACATCATCAATCGGAAATCGAAGATTTAGTAATTCATGATTTAAAAACATTAGCTATTCATATACGTAATTATATAAATAATACTGATATTTTTTCTAACATTGATATTAATAATAATGAACAATTTGATGCTATATTATATATTATACAACAAAATTCTTTGATAATCAAACAATATACAACAACGATACTTAATCTTGTCATTGATTGTAATCATAAAATTTATCATAGTTATATTCGTGGTATGTTCGATTATGTTCCTGATATAATACGATATCTATTTGATTGGAAAATAACACGATTTAATATTGTAATAAAATATACACGTCATAAAGAATATTCTCGTATTAAAAAATCTAAAGTATATGATTATATAACATGGAATAATTATATCATTGGTATTATATTTGGTATAAGATTAGCATGTATTCAAATGTTTATCATTGCTCCTATTATGTTCTTAATAGAACCTATACAAAAATCTGTATGGATATTAAAAACTCTATGTAAAATCGAACAACCTTATGATCGTATATTATTACATACTCGTGCAGCATATAGAACATTAAATACAGGAAATATTACAGTTGTACATGATTCTAGAATAATCGATACAGGTATTACAATTCGTGATGCTTATGGTACTAATACGCAAATAAGTTATATTATTGGTATTCTACGTTTATTGACTACTATCATAGTCAAAGGTATTGTTTGGTTTAGTTGGATGATAGTCATTACTGATCTTATTAGTGTAATTAATGTAACAATATCATGGAAATATATATATATTATACAAAATTTATATGTAGCATGTTTAGTATGTGTTTCTGTTATTGTTTTTGTGCTAAATACATGGACTACTATACGACGTTATTTTTTATTGTATGATTCAAGAAATGCACAATATTTAGCTACTGTTAGAGAAAATCAAGGAACACGAGCATATTATCTATCGATATTATCTTATATTATATTTGGTATTATATTTAATATTATTTTTAATTTATTAGATCTTGAAAATGAACAATGGATTAATATAACACCATTTGCACAAATTTTTAATAATCCAGTATCACATTTAAGTGCAACAGAACTAACAATACTTATCATTTTACAAGGAATAGCTATTGCTTTAATTGATGTTATTAATAGAAATGCACGTGGTAACGAACGTCTTCCTGATTATGAATTATCAGATCGAAATAGAATTGGTAGAAAAGAATGGTTAAATTTTCCAGTTGGAACAATTTGTTCATTATTGAAATTAAGAAAAAATATGAAAAAAAGAGACTAAAAGAGTACGATCTTGTATTCATATCTTTCTTGTACATTTTTTTCATCAATTCACACTTTACGAATAAATATTCTATTTATTAATTTAAAATTTAAAATTATTTACAATTAACAAAAACTACATTTTTGTCTACGACATATATTTACATAACATTTTGTATTAATTGTTAATTCGTATACTAAAAGTATAGATGATAAACTATTTTTCCTGTTTAACTTCACTCGTTTGTTCATTTTCATTCGACTTTGCTTGTTTAGTTTCACCCTTTTTGTTCATTTTTCTTAGACTTTGTCTGTTTCGTTTCACTCGTTTGTTTATATTCCGTAGAATTTGTCTGTTTAGTTTCACTTGTTTGTTCATTTTCATTGGAGTTTGTTTTTGTTGGTTTTTCTTTCTTTTCTTCAGCTTCAGCAGCATATTTACATCTTTGTCGTATTTTTGCGCCATATTTATAAAATAGAAATGGAAATGGTACACATACTAATGCTAAAAATGCTGGTATACATGAAGCCCAATGAATACCTAATGTATTAAACATTTGTGTTGTAAATAAAGGAAAAGCTGCACCAAAAACAGAACGTATTACACTATTGGCTGCTAATACAGAAGCTGCATAGATTGTATATGCATCAATTAAATAATTGAAAATAGATATAAAAACTAAAACCATACCGAAACCAACTGGTGCAGTAGCAATTATTGAAACAATCCAGTGAATAGATGGAGAATTAGTCCATGCAAACCAAAATAATCCAATCGGTATAAATATAGAACCAACCATAGCTGGTGGAAGACGAGCTTCTGGTGGAGCTTCTCCATCTTTACTTTTCTTTATAACACGTTTATATCGTATATTATCTAGTATTGAATAAACAACTGAAATCATTATTCCAACTAAAATACCAATAAAAGCTAAACCACCAATTCCTTCACTCCATCCTCGTTTTTCTTGATAAACAATTGGAAAAGCACCAAAACACAAATAAAGAGTTCCATAAATAATAGCCATATAAAGCGAAAGAAGAAGAACGATTGGTTCACGAAATAGAAGAACCCATGGACGTAATAACGAAGTTTTCATAACTTCACTAAACTTCGTTACTTTTTCTTCTTCAGATTTTGAACGATAAATTTTACTTGTTCGTTGTGATAATTTCTTTGCTCTTTTACGTAAAAGAACTGGACTATATGTCTCTGGTAAATAAAAACAAATAAGTATCCATACGACTCCACTAAAAATAGTCATTACACCTTCAACCCAACGCCATCCTACAGTTTCACCAACAAATCCTCCAACCATTGGTCCTAATGCAGGACCTAAAAATGCTGTTGATGCAAATAAAGCCATAACAACACCACGTTGAGAATTATCAAATAGATCAGCAATAACACCACCAGCATTTGTTAATGGAGATGCACCAAATGAACCCGCAAAAAATCGAAGAATAACTAATGTCCAAATATTTTGTGATGCTGCAGCTCCAGCATTAAATGCAGTGAATGCACCATAAGTTATTATGAAAAGTGGTCTTCGTCCGTAAATTTCAGAAAATGGTGCCCAAAGTAGAGGTCCAATTGCAAAACCAAGGACATATAAAGATACACCAAGTGTAATTACTTCATCACCTACATGAAATTGTTGTTTAAGTTCATTAAATGGACCTGTATAAGCTGAAGAACAAAATGAAACTGCAAGAGTTGCAACAGACACAAGAAATGTTAGAAACCATTTGTATATAGTCAACCATTTCATTGGATTTTCTGGATCATAACGAAGCCAATTAATAATAAATGGTGAACTTTCAGTTCCTTTGCCTTTATAATTTTCTTGTAAGAGTACAGAAGTTCTTAATCGTTCACTTTTCCATGGTAAAAGCGATATAACAGTATCATTTTCTGAATCAATAAGAGTTTGATATTTTGAATTCTTTTCCAATAAATCAGCTAACATCTTGTATTTATATCAATAAAAATTATAATTTTCAAACGAATATTTTTTTCGAATTAATAGAATAACTTAAATCTACAATATAATAAAAAAAATTATATCGAGTTCAAATATCAAAATAAATCATATATAATTATAAGTAAAAATAACTTTGTATTGTCTTCGTGTTGTATGCTTTAAACTTCGATTTATGATAATTTCGTTATGCAAATCATGATATATATTATTATATGATTACTGTATGCATTAAATCTAATTAAGAATAATAATACGAAAGGTGTATGTACTGATAGAGAGCGTACTTTTCGGCCACACTAATACAAAAGCTTTTTATATATAGGTGTACAATAATTAGAGAATATACGGTAAAATAAATGTAATTTACGTTTGTATATAAACGAAACGCCTCGTGAAAGGTGTGAGTTATGAGTATAAACAAAAGTTACCAATTCAGTAATAAACGAATAGTACAGTCTACAAATATGTCCTCAAATGACAAAAAAAAATCTATTGAATTGTACTCAATAAAATATTCAAATATATGTACTCATTATACAAGAGTATTGAATATATTGTTATTATTCATAATTACAGTTTAATAAAAAATTATTTTTAATCAATATAAATTTTTTAATTTTTTAAATGTAAGAATTATTAACTTCATTTAGAATAAATAAATTTGTATATTGTGATGTGTATTATAACTGTTATCACTTCTATTTTTTTTTGCATAAATATATTTCTTACTAATTTATTAAGAATGTAAATAAAATATCAAAATAATTAATCTAACAATGCAGGGTATGTGTGTGCATGAAATATCTATTATATCTATATTTAGACTGATAATTAGAGGATGATAAAATTACAGGTAAAGAAAAAATATTAACTAATTCATATTGCTAGAATATGGATGAAACGTGGGAACGAAGAATGATTCAAACATCTATACACACATCCTGACTCATCCCGTAATGAATAGAAGTCCTTGTGAAATCAATATGAATACAATTTCTGCATTTTATTTTGATTAGAATTGTTTTCGTATCATCGAATCTCTACATGAGTGTATGTTCTTAATTTTTTTTTAATTTTTAAAGTTATACGCCAAAAAGACATTGATCTATAAATAAATATTTAAAACCCTCAAGTTCAATACTTCATACAGTTTATGAAATAACTACGTGATTATCATAGTTCATAATCGCTAAATTCAAATAAATCATATCGATTTATTCTTGTTGATTATATTTTGACTGTATAGAAAAAATGTATGATATAAGTTTAGTTGTCGACTGCTTTGAAAAAAGTAACCATATCGGTCAAGCCATAGATATCTGTATTGTTAAAAGAAAGAAGATTGTCTTGACAAGCATTACTAAACCATTGATTCCATTCATCGACAAAATTTGAAGCTCGTTGTGCACCTTCCTCATTTGCAAAATATCCAAGACTAACATGAGGTGTATAAGCTTTCGTATCAGTGTCAATATTGAAACGATCGTGGACTATTTCATTCAACTGACGACGCTCTTCGCAAAGTTGCTTGAAGACGGAGATCGAGTTTTCATCAGGACGTAAGGCAGCCACGAGCACAGAATTATTCCACACTTTCAGTCCATCAAAGCAGAAGTTTATATTCCAGTCCCGTTTTAAACAGAGTGGTGATGATGCAGGAAGGTCAAATATACTTTTTGGCGTATTACAAGATGATTCTGGTAAATCTGACAACCATTTTTCAACTATGGAACGATATTGTGGTTCAATTTTTGTTACATGTCTGTCGTTTAATCCACCCCAAAGAGTAACATGATAAGTACTTGGTGGCAAGGCACAGAAAAGGAACTGATTGGTTAGAAAATTAATATTCAAACGCGTGATACCTTCATGAAGAATTGCATAAAATTTCAAAGCAGGATAATCGTTAACATCGTTAACAAGATCAAGCATTCCAGGACTACGTGGTTGAAGACATTTGTCTCCTGGATTATTAAAAAGAATTGAAAAACCATGAAAAGAAGCCCATTGAGTATTGAAGCCAGAAACCTTTTTATTAGTAATATGCAACATGATATGAAAATGACTGTTTTTTTCTTTGTCACTATCGCAAGCAGTATTTGCTTTTCTTTATCACAACGTTTGTATTAGTAATCTGAAAACAAATACATATAGATATTGCGTTTTTATTAACAAAGAATTTATTTAAGAAAAAAAAGCTCTATATATTCACAAAAAAGAATACCTATATGATCAATTTAAAAAAAAACATACAAGAAGAACAAGATTGACAATGAAAATTTGAATCTGAAAAAAGAAAGCAAGAAGCAACTTTAATAATCAGTTACATAAAACCAATAGAAAAAAAAAGATTTTTTAACCCCATCTACCACACGAATACATAAACAAGATGAAAATAAGAAATTTTTAAATAGTGACGTGTTGTATAAGTAAAATGCAAAATCGAATACTTTTTTTTGAAGTCATGTCTATATAGTCCATTAATTCCTACATTCACCTATTCATTCTTACATTTGCATAGATGCTAAAATCTATAATCTAATTGATAAAGATTCAACATGACTTTTTCTTTTGATATACATATATATATTTTTATCCAGATAGATGAAATTCAACATTACTTGTCATGTCATATTCTAAGGCTATATACTCAGGCAGACATGATCTTTAAAAAAACGCGTCCAAACAGCGTTTTAACGGTAGACCATTGTAAAAACACCGTTTTTACGAATTCTTAACGTGTTAATTACAGTAGACAAAGCTAACGTAGATAAAAATCGCAAAAATGTACGCTTTTCCGGATTTTATTTTCGTTCAAATTTCTACGCATATTTCTCCGTTTTTTTTTGAGTTCTGTCTATCTGGGTATGAAACCAATAGTGAGATGATTTTAAAATAAAAAAAAATACTCTCATTAATGTAATAAAATTTTTTATGAAAGGATGTTCACATCTCTTCATTATATGTCAAAAATATAGAAACGCTGCTGGATAGATCGTTAAGAACTATATTTTTGACAGCAAAAGAATTTTGT